AATGCAATGTGCTTTGTTTGTTTCCACTAGGAAAGAATGAAAAGGTTGAACGACATTATTGAGGCAGCTAATACGGTTATCTCACATATTGATCAAACAGCCCTCGCCATTTATCTCGCTATGAAGACAGATCCCAGACCTGATGCTGCTACTATAAAAAAGTACCTAACCAGTAAATACTTTTTCCTTGCATCTTATTTCTGCAACTTGGCCTAAGGCTGTCCCCACTTTGTAGCTTCAAAGATTAAGTCACTCTAAAGCTGAAATTATTTTAAAGATCAATTCCGTGATCCTGATAGGACGACTGTGACCACCAACCAACATAATGTCCATTTGTAGCAGTGAGCCTTAATGTGTTGAACTTTTTGTGTTGGATTGTGGCCAGTGACAATTAGAAGCAGCTTTGAATTGAAGCTTCTTCTGTCCTAAATTTTAGGATGAAATAGATGATAGTGGCTGGGATTTTTATTACAGGTGTTGTAAGTGGTTAGAGACCATGATCTGCATGAGCAATCAGGCAAGAGTCTTAAGTTCAGAATTGAAATCCACAGGTTTTCTAAGCAGCATCTTGTGAACTATTATTCAGTACAGAACGCTGAAATATTCAGAATAATTACTGGACTGAGTTAAGACCAAAAATCTTGCATTGGGAATACATTATAACTCAGCCCTCCCACCGCTCCAGATGTTTTAGATCACAACATTTGTTTTGCTAGTAAGAATATTGCATAATGCAACACATCCTTTAATTTAAAGCTTTTGATAGTCCTATATATTAATTGAAAACCTTTGACATCAGTTATATTTCACCATCTTCTTAAAACATGTCTTAAGTATCAATTTCTTAAATAACTATATCAATCGCCATTAAAGATTTCAACACCAAACATTTAAATGAATTATATAAATGGGTAGAAATTCAGTTCCCTTAGAGCAGCAAGCGATCTGACCTTAAATCTGTTGTTCCATATATGAATGAGATTGTCGGGTTCCATTTATTCATTTACTCCCTTATTATTTTATATGTACAAGTCATCCCTGTCAACTGCCAAATTTCCAGCCGTTCCCATATCTTTCTAATTTTTTCCATTCTCAGAACTTGGCTCATTTTTGCAAAAGCATGTGTACTTGAAAGCAAACTGCAAGCATTTTTACATGAGCTGTGTACCAAGCAGGCCTTGACCCTCCCTGCAAGCAAGGCAGAGAGATTACCAGGCTCTGGGGTGCTCTCAAGGGACCTTGCGTGGCCATCTGAGTTTCCATGAGATCTCACGAAAGCGTCCCAGAGCCCAGTAAGCCGGTTGGAAAGCTTAAAAGTTCTTTCTACTTCGGGAAAACCCTTTGCAAAAGGAGCTTTTAAGCTCTCTGCCTTCCATGCATTTCATTTGCGCAATTTCAACTTCATAAAGCTGAAATCACACATGCTAGATGTCAATGGGATAAGTAACAATGCAACCTTTAGAAGTCATGCGAAGGCAGCCCTGTATAGTTTTTTTTAATGTTTTTAATGTTTTTTTTTAAATGTTTGAAGTTTTATTATGGTTTTCATATATGCTGGAAGCCTCCCAGAGTTGCTGGGACAACCCAGTCAGATGGGCAAGGTACAAATAATAAAATTATTATTATTAAGCTAAATTCGCATAGGTTGTGATTGTACTGTAGCAGATTAATTCTGTATGCCCAAATAGGAACACTGTGTATTTTAAATAACTGAATTATTATTTTGACTGCGTCAGACCAACACAGCTACTTACCTGAATCTTGAATTATTATTATTTAACTATACAGCCTTTAGATGGCATGTGAAGGGAGCCTTGTATAGGGAAGTTTTTTTAATGTTATATTTTGTTTTCATGTATGTTGGAAGTGGCTGGGGCAACCCAGTCAGATGGGTGGGGCACACAAAATATAATAATAATAGTAGTAGTAGTAGTAGTAGTAAATAATTGAATTTATATACTGCCCTATAACTGCAGGTCTCAGGAAATCAAAATATAAAACCACAAAATGCATAATCAAAATAAAATCAATATTTATTTAGGGTACTTGTGCCTTCCTTGCAACGTAGCCGTTTGTGTTCTTTTTGTCTAAATATAACAGATAGTTGAGTTTTGGCATGTATATAAAATAACCACTTGTTGAAATATTTGGGAGTAATGGGGGCGGGACCCTGCATATACACCCATTATAAATGATTTTTTATTCAGTTTGTGCACTTCAGGACTCTCTTTTTATAAAAAAAGGGCATGCTTCACTGCAAATGCTGTCATCCTCTTGTGTGCTTCCCATTTAGTGAGATGGACAAGCAGAAATCTACGTTAGTGGACGCTCTCTGTCGGAAAGGAAGTGCGTTGTCCGACCAAATCCTGCAGTTTCAGGCCCAAGAAGGGGCTGTGTCAGGCGATGCAGAACCTAAAGATGACCAGCAGGAGGGTGGCTTGGATGCTCTGGCAGAAACTTTCTGGGAAATAACCAAATGGACTGACCTGTTCGACACCAAGGTATATGGAAGTGGGGGAGCAAAGTTAGATTCCTATAACTGAAGGAGGGAATCCTTCATATGCTGCTTATACAGACTGGCTTTCTATGTAGTCTCAACTTTAGCCTTTGGTAAAGCATTGAATTTTTTATTATTATTTTGGCCACCTAAACTGTGTATTCCTACACAGCAGAGAATGCCAACACAATAACGGAAATCTTTCATTATTGGTTTTTAATCCAGATTTGTAGGATTGCAGCCATTCACCACAGCCAACTTCGTGGGGTTTGTTTTGTTTTTTTGACAAAAGCCTTACAATTTTTCATACTGTAGATAACAAAAGCATACAATCAAATCTGCAGAAAAAATAGTCCAGTTTTTAAAATCATAAATGTTTTCATAAGTGTAAGCGTCGCCTGGCTACATCAGGCCAGAAATGGTTTTGTGCAGCCTTCCACTTTCAAGCCTCGCCATCCAAGAAATGATGATTCCCCTCTTGGCTCTTCCACCTCTGTGCATTTATTGTAAGGCATGCTCCCCTAGTTCTTTGGGCCTGTTGCAGCCTTCACCAACCCAGTGAATCATGCAGCTGCGGGGGGGGGTTGTAGCCCAAAGCATCGGGAGAGCAGAGTGTTGGAAATTGCTGCTTTCCTGTAACTAAGCTTAAGTTGGGTTAAACCACAGAGCATAGGACCTGACGATCAGAACGTCAGCGGTTCAAATCCCCGCGACGGGGTGAGCTCCCGTTGCTCGGTCCCTGCTCCTGCCAACCTAGCAGTTTGAAAGCACGTCAAAGTGCAAATAGATAAATAGGTACCGCTCCGGCGGGAAGGTAAACGGCGTTTCCGTGCGCTGCTCTGGTTCGCCAGAAGCGGCTTAGTCATGCTGGCCGTGTGACCCGGAAACTGTATGCCAACTCCCTTGGTCACTAAAGCGAGATGAGCACCTCAACCCCAGAGTCGTTCACGACTTGACCTAATGGTCAGGGTTCCCTTTAAAGCGAGATGAGCACCTCAACCCCAGAGTCGTTCACGACTGGACCTAATGGTCAGGGTTCCCTTTAAAGCGAGATGAGCACCTCAACCCCAGAGTCGTTCACGACTGGACCTAATGGTCAGGGTTCCCTTTAAAGCGAGATGAGCACCTCAACCCCAGAGTCGTTCACGACTGGACCTAATGGTCAGGGGTCTCTTTACCTTTACCTTTACCTTTATAAGCTTAAGTTAAGCACATGTAGCTGAAATAGTGTTGCCTTGTTTCCCTGGTGTTGAATTTGAAATGGTAAGCTCTTCAGAATCAGGGATCTGTCCTCTTGCATACTCTGCAAAGTGCCTGATGGCACAATATAAAATAACTTCTCTTCTTACAAATATTTAATTTTGGAGGGATCCAACAGCCTCCCAGCTTTTGCTTTAGCAGCATTAAAGAATGGTTGTTAGGGCAACTTCAGCCGACTAGATGCGAAATGGACTTGTGCTTCCCCAAACCTCTTGCACTGCTGGTGTCAAGTCTGAAATAGAACCGGGGCTGGTAAACTCTGGAGACCAAGATGTTTTCCTGGCTTACAAAAATCACCTTTTATTTTGCGCCCCGTGTAGGTTTTACCATTTGCCTATAAGCACGCCCTGGTAAATAAAATGTACGGCCGAGGTCTCAAATTTGCAACAAAGCTTGCGGAAGAGAAACCTACCAAAGAAAACTTGAAGAATTGCATACTGGTAAGTAATCTTCATTATTACCTCGGCTAACTCAAGGCTGCATGCAAGTTTCGTTGGTATTTTGGGAAGTTTACGAAAAGGTTACAGCTCCCCCCCAAAAAAGTAGAGAATCAGGTGTGTGCGTATGTAATCCCTCCCCCTTTGGCTACTTAATAGAATGCAGTTTTTTAAAAGTCAACATTTTTAGTGGACTTTGTTTAATAGTGGAAGATGTAAAAGTGTACTTTAATTTTTTTCTTCTTTAGCTAATGAAGTTACTTGGATGGACACACTGTGCATCTTTCACTGAAAACTGGCTTCCCGTGATGTATCCACCCGATTATTGTGTGTTTTGAAATACCTGCCATTGTAAATCTGAGATGTTCTTACATTGTTTGGATATAAAGATACATTATATTACTGGAATGCATGTTTTCATCCATTATTGAATGCTTATATCGTGTGTTATTAATCAGAGGACAAGGGGGTTGTGTGAGGGTTCGGCTCCTGACATCAAGGAGCCTATTTAGGCTTAGATATTTAATTTCTGGGCGTAACTCTTAGTTGCCCTAGAAATAAAAACATAAGAACAAAATGTTTTGCATACATCGCATTGCTGGCAATGGGTGTTCCGAAATAGCCAGCTCCAAGGATTATTAGGAAATGAAGATGGGAAGGTTTCTTGCATGTGTATGTGGTTCTTAACTGTTTGTAATTTTAACCACAAGCCTGTACAAGCGGTTCTTTTTACAATGAGCAGGGTTTTAACATTGATGTTTTCAATTGTATGAAGGCCTTAAAAAAAAACAAAAAACTCCTTCGGAGTAGCTAAAACCTTATTTATTAGACTTAACAGTAATGGAACTTAATTACCAGTATCACTTGCAAGAGTTTACATTTTGAATTTTTTTAAAATTAAAAACTTTCACACTCACTGCAAATGTATTTTGAATTGCTGGTGCAAAAGGTGCTCTTGAATATCTTCAACTCGGAGATGCTCTCAGATATCCATGTGTTGCAGAGTATCGGATAAACTGATACATGTATAAACAGTCAGTTAACACTTAAATCAGGTATTGTAAAACTTATACATAAGATATGTTAATAATGTTTTGGGGGAGGGAAATGTAAAACTGCTAAATAAATGTGCAAATTTCAAGATCAAAAACGTGCGCACTCTCATACTTTTAATTTTGTTAATAATAAAAACAATCAAACAAAGCTGAGATCTGTCCTAATTTTTTCAAGAGTAACTAAAGGGAGGCATTAGGAAATCAATGCTATTTTCAGAGCTGGTGGAGGGAGGACACATAATCTAGTCTATCTGACTTCATGGAGGCCAAGTAAAAAGTTACATTTCAGCATTGTAGCAAATATTGGTCACAGCGTATATTTTATATGCCTGTTATTGAGACAACAATTTGGCACTGCTTATAGAACCAGAGGACTTTTAAAAGGACTCTATAAAGCTATAGCATGGTAGCCCCATTACCTGGAATTGGTTTATCCTTGTAGAAGCGCAACCCTACATTTTAATCTGAAATGTTGTGGCTTCATTACACTACAGCTTATTCATGTTACTGGAGTTGCTTTCTGTAGTCACATGGGACTTACGGAGTAAAATGGTCCTCTCTCCTTTCTGTTTCTAGCAACAGGATGTGGGGTTAAGCTTTCAGGTCCAATTACCGGTAAATCAGTTTTATGGAAAAACCCAGGGCATAACATCGTGGGTAGCTCCAAAAGGATGCAGTTTGGTGGTGGTCGAACATGTTCTGTTAATCATCTGGGGCAACAGCTGCATAAGGAGCAGGAGAGCATTTACTAAAATCCACTTATTTGACCCCCGTTGCATACAGTCTTGCTTTTTGGGATTACCCATTATTGGGAAATAGAACCCCAAAAGCCAACTTGAATGCACCAGGCTGTTGTGAAGAAGGGGGTAATTAACATCTTTTAAAAACTACTGCTTTGTAAACTTTTAGGCTGCATCTGTTCTAGATTCTGTCACTCTTTCGGATCTTAATTTTCCCTTACTGTGCCTTTGAACAACTTAACATTTGACTCTGGAAATTCGGCTAGCTGTGTGATATTGAGCATGTTGCCAACTCTGTCCAAAAAATCGTAATCTGTGCTGAATCTGAATTTGTTTGCCCATAACAAGATTGTCCCAGGCTGACAAAAGTAGCCTATGGTGACTAACAGAGCTTCAAGAGCTGTGTGGTGGTACACCAGATCAGTAGCCACAATAAAATCATAGTGATGGGTTGATATGGGGAAGTCTGCGTGGAGATTCTCTCCCCAAACCAGCTTTCTTACTTCGGGCTTGTGAACGTTCAGGTTGCGTGTGTTTCTTGAAATATTGAACTCCATATTTTCAAGGACCTCGGGCAAGTCAGTAGCTGTCACAAAAGCACCTGAAAGAGAACAAAAATAATTACCGTACTTTTCGGACCATAACACGCAGTTTTTCCCCCCTAAAAGACAAAGGGAAATGTGAGTGCGTGTTATGGAGCGAATGCAGGCGGGAGGAGCGCAGCGTGTCCGCCTGCTTGCCTGCTCTATGGCTTTCCAGCAGCCTGTCTTCCCCTCCCCCGTCGCTGGGAAGCCGGCAAGGCAGCCTGCCCTCCCCTGTCGCTGAGAAGCCGGCAAGGCAGCCTGCCCTCCCCTGTTGCTGGGAAGCCGGCAAGGCAGCCTGCCCTCCCCCGCCGCTGAGAAGCCGGCAAGGCAGCCTGCCCTCCCCTGTCGCTGAGAAGCCGGCAAGGCAGCCTGCCCTCCCCTGTCGCTGAGAAGCCGGCAAGGCAGCCTGCCCTCCCCTGTCGCTGAGAAGCCGGCAAGGCAGCTTGCCCTCTCCTGTCGCTGGGAAGCCTGCAACAGCTGAGCGCAGAGTGTCTGCCTGCTTGCCTGCTCTATGGTTTTTGGCGAGGTGGGAGAAGAGAGGCAGCTCGGAAGCCGGCAACAGCTGAGCGCCAGGGTCGGAGAAGGAAGACAGCCTCTCTTTCTCAGTGTCTGCCTGCTCTATGGCTCTCCCTTACACACATGTAAGCAGCTCTTACTCTGCTATCTTTACAATGAGCCGGAAGGAGGGACAAAGAGGGCATCCCCTTCCGTCCATCCCCCAGCACCTCACCAGTAAATTCAAACAAAGCGGCTTACAAGGCTCATGTCCCTGCGTCTCCTCCTCTTTCTGCTCTCATTCGAGGCAAGGCAGCTGCACAAAGGTGAGTTCCCCCTCTCTCTTCCTTCCCTCCCTCCCTCTTCCAACTTCAAACAATATTGGGGGGCAGCCAGGTAAGCCCCACCTCACATACCACAATGGGGAGTGGGGGATGACTCCCTCAAATATTTAATGGGGGGGGAGGCACCTAGGCCCATAGGAATTGGCTGCTTTGCCTAGGACAAATGTGAGCTCTCCCTCCCTCTTCCAACTTCAATAAAATATGGGGGGGGCAGGTACAGGTAAGCCCCACCTCACAGACTGCAATGATCTCAAGACATAGTGCATGCACACTGGTACCTTATATGAATAGCAATGCCCATCAGCATGGGGGGAGGATGACTCCCTCAAATATTAATGGGGGGGGAGGCACCTAGGCCTATAGGAGTTGGCTGCTTTGCCTAGGAGAAATGTGAGCTCCCCCCCCTTCCTTCATCACTGTATTGGATATACCGTACCATACATTACTGACAGTTCCTTCATCATTTTCTTGCAGAAAACTGTATTTTCTTGCAGAAAACCTCCCCCGTTCTGATAAGGATGATAAAGCAGAGAAGACTAGCATATAAAATTCCTTTTAAACTAGAAGTAGTAAAATATGCTAAGGAGCATGGAAACAGAGCAGCAGAGAGACATTTTGGGCCACCTCCAACAGAAAGAATGATAAGAGATTGGAGGAAACAGGAGGATCAGCTGCAAAAAGCAGATAAAAATAAGCACACTTTTCGTGGACATGCTGCAAAGTGGCCACAGTTGGACGTGGCCATGAAAGAATGGATCACACATCACCGGAATAATGGCATCACAGTCTCCACAAAAATGATAATATATGAAGCCAAACGCATTGCTTTAGAGAAAGGCATTCATGATTTTACTGGCTCACCATCGTGGTGCTACAGATTTATGAAGCGATGTGGCCTTTCTATGCGCACGAAAACTAGAATTGCACAAAAAATGCCAGAAGAATATGAATCAAAGATTCTGTCTTTTCATAAATTTGTAATTGATGCTAGGAAGAGAAATGGATTTGAAATTGGCCAGATTGGGAATATGGATGAAGTCCCGCTAACCTTTGATGTGCCATCTAATAGGACTGTGGATCTGAAAGGTGCCAAAACTATTGCTGTGAAAACCTCTGGACATGAGAAAACCCATTACACGGTTGTGTTGTCTTGCTGTGCAGACGGCACCAAATTGCCACCCATGTTAATTTTCAAAAGGAAAACATTTCCAAAAGAAGTGATTCCACGAGGAATTGTTGTACATGTTCATGAGAAAGGATGGATGGACGAAAATGGAATGAGAGTATGGGTTGAAAAAGTGTGGTCCAAACGTCCTGGAGGGCTTTTGAAAAAACCTGCCTTATTAGTACTGGACCAGTTTAGAGCACATATTAGTGAAAGTACAAAAAAGTGTTTTAAAGAAGCGAAGACTCATCTAGCTGTAATTCCTGGAGGTCTTACCAGCCAGTTGCAACCTCTCGACGTTTCCATCAACAAGCCATTTAAGGTCTTTATGCGAGAAGAGTGGAACAAATGGATGGCTGCTGGTAATCATGATCTGACACCTACTGGACGAATGAAGAGGCCCACTATCACTCAAGTTTGTGAATGGGTGAAAACATCATGGCACTCGGTGAAGGAGGAAATCGTTGCACAGTCATTCAAGAAATGTGGCATTAGCAATGGTTTGGATTCAAAAGAAGATGACATTTTATATGAAGATGGCGAAGAAAGTGATGCCAGTGATTGTGAGGAGCTGAACTTCATAAATTCTGACTCTGGCACTGATGAGTTCTTGGGGTTCACAGAAGACTAGAAGAGTACTCGAACCTAAAATTCTCTCTTCATTTGTTAATGACAGTGATGATGGTTCTTAATGCTGTTCACTGTTGACTGCTGTTCACTTTACATGGTTGTAATATGATTCTGCTTTACCGGTTGTTTAATAAATAGTTTAGTACAACATTTGATTCAGAATATTTTTTTTCTTGTTTTCCTCCTCTAAAAACTACGTGCGTGTTATGGTCAGGTGCGTGTTATAGAGCGAAAAATACGGTAGTCTTCCTTGATAACCTGAAGAGAGGCAAGGCAGTTCTATGTTTACATTTTTGCTGTTCAGTGATGTCATCATTACTGACTCACTAGGCTTTCTGTCCTCTGCAGGAACAAGCAGCCATTGCAGTCTCTGGATAAAACTGCAGGGCACCCTCTGGCTTAGAACAAATCATAGAAATCCCAAGACTAGCACTGTAATCCATTTACTGCACTGACACATTTTCAAGGAGAATTTACTATAGATGAGGCGAGCTGGAAGTTTTGTGTCTGAAGAACATTTCTGAAAGGTTCTATTTCAGACTAGCAAAGTTGTTTGAGCAACACCTACAGGTTAATAAATGGAGCAATTCTCTCTTTTGGGAAATCAAAGCCTGTTTTGGACTGTCTCCTACTGCACTTGGTTATATCCCTTGCCAGATAAATGAAGTTAAGGCACAAAAGAAATAGATTTCAGAATGCTTTTTTGTAATTAGCTACTCACAAGATAAGCTGCCCATTTTAGGCTTCGTATGGCATCCTGTGTCTATAAGGAGGTTGTGGGTAAACAGCATTGTCAAAATGCTATTCAGATGTTTGGGACTCAAGAGAGTACTGGGTAATAGGTAGGAACTGTGTGTAAAATGTGCAACAAGAAGCAACACACATAAATACTCTTTAGCAAATTACCAACCTAGTATACTTGCCACAATGGACACCAGGCCTGTACCAGCTCCCAGTTCGAGTAACTTCTTGTCTCGGAGACTGATTTCTTGTTGATTTGATTCCAAGTACTGACACAGAGCAAGTGCCTAAAAAAATTAATTTGTCTTCAGAATTTGGGAGCTGCTAATGTTTAGAACCTAATCTAGCTGCAATAGTGTATGTGCATGTGCATCCCATGATTTCAGCATGCGAAATCACCGACGATGCCCTCTGATGCCCTCAATGCAAGCTCAGTCCAAAAGCAAATGATGAAAGGGGGAAGGCTGGGCTGTGATGGATTAATCCCTTCAGCCTCCCCAGTGCTTTTTCCTCCATACTGCGCCCAGTACTAAGGTTTCAGGCAATGTATCGATACGTCACCTGGGCTATTTGAATTTAAAGTCACAAGAGCAGTTTTGGAATTTCTGATCACCCACATCTGATACATGCCAGATCAGCCTCCTCATCCATAATCAGATCATGGATGAGGGACATCTGCAGGTGAGGCAGTGGAAGTGCTGGAACTGGTGTCTTGCCTTGGTAATAGACTGTATGAAAGCCAACAAACTGAAACTCAATCCAGATAAGACGAAGGCGCTGTTGGTGGTTCCCTAGACCAGGTGGATGGGAGATCTCCTGCCCTTGATGGGATTACACATTTACCTGTCAGGGAGATACAAACAGTGGGGCGAAGGAAGTGGCACTCCCGGGAGCTGCATGGCGAGAGATCATCGGGGCAAGCCGTGGCTGGCAGTTCCAGGGAGGCTCTGCGGTGCCCTGCTATGTGGCAACAAGGCTAATGCACGCTGCCCTTCCAGGCCCAACAGAAAGGCAGAAGCTGTGCACAGTGAGACTCTGGGGTTGCGGCGCTCATCTTGCTTTACTGGCAGAGAGAGCCAACGTTTGTCCGCAGACAGTTTTTCCGGGTCATGTAGCCAGCGTGACTAAGCCGCTTCTGGCGAAACCAGAGCAGTGCACAGAAACGCCGTTTACCTTCCCGCTGGAGCGGTACCTATTTATCTACTTGCACTTTGACATGCTTTCGAACTGCTAGGTTGGCAGGGTTTAGCTGGTGGTATGTTACGATTTTGGAAAGCAGATATTGCCCAGCCTTATTCAGTACTAATGTAGCATTGATTAACCATGCAGCGGTATCACAGCTGCGGACATGTAAAGCCATAGATTCAATGAATCCATTTAATCTGTTCTGGGCTGTAGGGAGGTTCAGAACACAGTCTTATCTTGCTCAGTGGGTTAACTACATATCCAGTATCAGGTGCGCAATGAACTCTCTGCTTTTTATAGGCACAGGATTGACTTTTACCCCCATAAATGTGCTGAAATCTTAGGCCATAAGCAACACTAGCAAAGGAAAATCAGTGGCTTGGCTGACATAGCCTTCTGATGACCCTTTCCAGCTCTTAAGATCCTAAAACAAGGTATCAAGGAAAGCAAAACGCTTCATTATCTTACAGAAGCTTACTCACGAGGTGTTATTTCCCTGTGTGAAACTTACGCCAGGCCATACTACGGCTCCGAAGTTTTCGATGGACTCTTGAATGGTGATCTGGTGGCCAGCGTAGCAGTAATGTTCTTTGTCAAAATAGGGAGAGGCCTTAGGAACCCATTTCTGTAATATTTTGAAGACGCGGGGCAGCCCTGCGGGGAGAGAAGTCAGCAATAGTCATCTGTGAACGTAAGAGGGTTCAGGAATTTAAACAAAATGGGCTTCCATTTTGGGCTTCCATTAAAAGCTTCAAACAAACAAAATGGGCTTCCATTAAAAGCTTCCCTAAACAGGGCTGCCTTCAGATGTCTTCTACAAGTCTGGTAGTTGTTGTTCTCTTTGACATCTGGTGCGAGGGTGTTCCACAGGGAAGGCGCCACTACCGAGAAGGCCCTTTGCCTGGTTCCCTGTAACTTGGCTTCTCGCAGCGAGGGAACCACCAGAAGGCCCTCGGCGCTGGACCTCAGTGTTTGGGCAGAACGATGGGGGTGGAGACGCTCCTTCAGGTATACTGGAAGGAGGCCATTTAGGGCTTTAAAGGTCAGCACTAACACTTTGAATTGTGCTCGGTTCCGTTATGTTGTTGCTGTGCTATTGTATATCATGTTGGAAGCTGCCCAGAGTGGCTGTGGCAACCCAATCAGATGGGCAGGGTACAAAAAATTAACAACAACAAGAAGTAAATTAAATACATCTCATCACAATTGGAAAGGTTCTGGCTGTAGACCCATCTGTCTATTCATTCTGCAACATAGGAGCTAACAGTTGGCAAAGCCCTGTTCTTCCTTCTTGCCTTTTATTTATTTTTAAACTTGGTGTGGACAGTCCTTCAAAGAAAGAACTCCTTCTAGTAGACCACTGTCTGAGATAAACACAGTCATCCTGGCATCACTTGGCAAATTCAGCCCAAAATCTGAGTACAGTGGTACCTCGGGTTAAGTACTTAATTTGTTCCGGAGGTCTGTTCTTAACCTGAAACTGTACTTAACCTGAAGCACCACTTTAGCTAATTGGGCATCCTGCTGCCGCTGCACCGCTGGAGCACAATTTCTGTTCTCATCCTGAAGCAAAGTTCTTAACCTGAAGCACTATTTCTGAGTTAGCAAAGTCTGTAACCTGAAGCGTATGTAACCTGAGGTACCACTGTATCGGCATGCCTGGAAACTCTAAGGGTTCAAGGCAGGCTGCCCTCAAGCCCCCCTGATTTCCCTGAAAACCATTTAAATGATCTTAAATAAATTTGATTCAGCTGTTCCTTACTTTCTAGCAGCATAAAACACTTAATCGGCATTCCTACGCAGAATAACCACTGAATAAATGTGCGGAGGCTGGTGTCGTGAATTGCATTGTGCGTTACCACGTACTTGTTGAAAACATAAAGGACAAGTGTTCCCAAAGACTCATAAATGACAACAGGGTTGCTTATTTAATTCTTGGGAGCTGATGAGAGCAATTGATTTAGAAGAAAAAAAAACTTGCGTAGGGTTGAGTGGGCGAAAGCGATACTGTCTTTAAAGGGAAACCTGAGTCAGATGCAAGGGAGCAGCCATTGTCTCCTTCCTCCAGGTGTTCCTCGTCCTCCATTATTCCTTGGTCTGCTTTAAGGAAGAACTGGTGCCGTGCAGAAATCATAGCAGGAATGCTACAGAAGGAACCACCAAACAAACAAACCATGAGGTTTCTGAAAGAGGGAGGATAGTTCCCGACTTTTTTTCATTTTACCCTCTGAGGAAAAGAAGAAGTTGAGTGCCAGAAACATGCACATGCTGCATTAAAACCAGAAACCAGAGTTAAGACCTTTCCGTCAGTGAAAAGCTTCAGACAGTTGGTTTTTGTTTCTGGCATTCGTATTTTGCTCCACCACCAAAGATCTCAAAGAGGTTTAGGACTGCCTCCGACAGTGGAAGCCGTATAGGCAGCAGGTGCTGTCCAAAATATTTCACCTGCTCCCTAATAATGGTCCTTGCCACCACTTCACTTCCCAATACTTGCTCTGTCGTTTCCAGAGCACATAATTCAGGCAAATTCCTGGAATGCCAGGCTTGGGGGGGTCACCTCTCACAGGCTGTCTACTCAAACCAGCCACTTAAGAGCTGAAAGAAGCTTAGCATGTAGTTCACCTTCACCTGTAAAGATGACAGAACAAGGCCTTTCTCTCTGCTCTTATTTATGACACCCAGTCCCCTGAGCCTTAGTTTTTTATAGCGACCACTAGGTGTCCTCAAAAGCTTATGTGACAATAGAAACCGATTTACGTTGGAATCTTAACAAGGTCTACAGAAAAGTCAGTCCTATTGAAGCCAATGGAGCTTACTCCCAAGTAAGTGAGGCTAGATTACTGCCTTTATTTTTAAGGTGCCACAGAACACTCTCTCTCTCTCTCTCTCTCTCTCTCTCTCTCTCTCACACACACACACACACACACACACACACAGAGAGAGAGAGAGAGAGAGAGAGAGAGAGAGAGAGATTGTATGTTTTGCTAGAAAAGACTGTAACAAAGCTACCCCTCTGGAATAATCATTCAAAGTTGTTTCCATGCCGTCTTACGTTCCATAATTGTTTAATCTCTATCCAGACTCGAACAGGTTTTTTTAATTTTATGTGGGAGATGTATTGCCATTTGCAAAGTGCAGTTTGTGATCTGTGAGTGTTTGTGGCATTCTGCTCGAGAGAGAACCTCGTGAAGTCAAGTCACTATTTTAGTTAAGGTAGTAACTGAAAAACACTTTGTTAAAATAAAATAAAAAGCATCCCTAAAGGATAAATGTGCCACTCGCGAAACCATCCTCTCAGGTTCCTGGGTTAGTAGCATGTCTGACAGAAAAGCACGAGTGATGCTGAGCAAAGTTCACAGGAAAGATATTCTGCAGAAGCCCCGTTGAAATGAATGGGAAATTTCAATGAGCTTTACACAGACCGGCTGCTGTTCCATGAACTGTGCCCATAACTCACAGGCTCATCACATAACCCAGTCCTGACTTCACCTCCTACTTTTCACCTCTCACTTTCTCTCTTGCATGCCTCATGTGCTCATGCGAGCTCTGTTTGCTTTGGAAGCTGTGCTTTCATAGCCCTGGGCCTGCCACAGAGTCCTCCATTCACCATGAATCTCCTGGTCCGTTCATTAGCCTTTCGGATTCTAAAATCTCCCTCTGAATTTAAGCTTGCCGCTATCGAGCGATATGTTCCTGGTCTCCCGCTACGTATCTTGCTTGACCTAACCACCACCTGTTGTGCCCCTTGTCGAAGATACATCACACATATTAAAAATAAACATGAAGTTCAAAATGCCCATCCCTTTAAGTCTCAGCTCATTCACTGACCATCCCCACGAAAAGGCTAAGGTTACCATTTTACCTGGAAAGTTGTAATTAATCCGGACTCCGAGGATCCAATTCCTAAGCTGAGAGATTTTTCAACCAGCTCGGTGCCTTTTATAGCAAAGGTGTGCCAAGTGGGGGGTGGGTACTGGGGAAGGGGGCGGGCCCTAGACCATTTAGGGATAAAAACCTTTGAATGAAGAGAGTCCCTGTCATGGGTTCCATTCTCTGCATACAAGCTAGTGGAAGTAAACCGAGCCATCTTCATTGTGAAGTAGTAAGTGACGATTATGATATGAACTTAACTGATATGATATGACTTGCTATGTGCATGTTATGTGTATATTAAAATCAGTAGCACATCTCCCAATAAACATCCCGGCGGAGAAACTACACCTTAATATCTATCGCAGAGCTGTATATTCCAGCAAGCTATCGGCCACTGATAGATTCACCAGCTCCAATTCATAATTTTCAATGTATAGAGAGAAAACAGTTTCTCTCTTCCAAATAACATAAAAATATCCAAGGACAAGGAAGCAGCTTTAAGTAGATTTGACATACATTCATTCTAATAATGCAAGGTCAAATTAAACAGGGCTCTATGTATCATAGATATTTAGAGTCGGAAGGAACCTCAAATGTTATCTACTCCAACCCCCGGTGGCCTGTGCAGGGACTGGCATGGGATCAATCATTCTCACGTTTCCACTCATCACTTCCCAGCTAGAACATGCTGCAGAATTAAGTTTTTGATACAATTTGGAATTTTGTTGGGGACAAACCACGTGCTTTTAACCTACTCCCTTTCTCCTCATGTCCTGGCACCAGTTGTTGTACATTTCTTTCCCCAGCCAAGTCAGACATTTCAGTACCCTCTTGGGCAGTAAAATTGAGTGTGTCTTGCTGACTGTATCTTTAAACTAAGCTAGCATGCCATGAATTTCTGGCAATCTCTATTCTGGGCCAAAGAGACCAATTCTTCACCAAATTATTTACCAAATTGGGAATATTTTTTAAAGTGTTATCTGCATTAAGATGATTCATTTTCTGGTTTAACCATTTGTTTCTTGTTGTAATCAGCCTTTTTGTTGTTGTTGAATTGCTTGTTCAGATTTTAATATTTTGGGTGTTTGTTGCGCGTCGAGGTCCCCAAGACGCCCCCCAAAGAAAAACACAATTGACACTTAATTTTTGTTTAAGGTTTTTGGCATAATTTTGGCCACAACTTTATTCAAATTACAGCAATGTGAGTGGTTGCTTAGGCATTTGTAGCACTAACTGACCCCGCAAGGGGACAGCTCTGACATTCGCACCCCCCGCGAAGTCAGAAAGGGTAAGTCACCTGGGGAGAGAGACGGGACTGGGAACCATGCCTCACCTCTCCCCAGAATGCTCCCAGGGGCTTGCATGGCCCTAGCCCCTTGCCAGGGGGTTCAGACAAAAGCATGGGGAGCCCCTGGATTCCTTTAACAGAAAACCCTTGAAGCAGCAGCAGCAGCATTTTGGAGAGGCAGGCACAGCCAAATCCATACCCCTCCACCAACCAATTCCAAGACCAATGCCTAATCTGCAAACCTTACAAGTTGTGACGATTTGCTACGCAGTAGGCAAAAAAACCAAGTGGCACACACTAATCAGCCAAATGGACAAAATTCCTACCAGGCCCCTGCCCCAAAGCAGACCACCCCATGACAGGCATAGCAAGGTCAAGCAAACAGCCTAAAATTAGGGAAGGGAGGGCAGGTGATCTGAAGTAAGCAGCGAAAAGAGGAAGTTCGTCGCTGCACGGGTTGTATTTAACAAATAGGGCTGTCAATCAACAAATGGCAACATCTGGATTTCCCCAGTAACAGCCCGCCCCTGCTTAAAGGATGGCCAAACCATTTGCCTAGCAGCAGTAAGGTGTCACGTCAGCCCCGCCCGCAACCCGTGCTCTCCATGAGGGAGAACACACTTTGCCAGTGCTTTAAAGAAAGAACGTAGCACCTATCAATGGGAGTAAGTAACGTACTCATCATGTATTACGTTCACAGTGTGCCGTTCTTCCGCAGAATTCAAGGCATGCTGCAGATTGTTCCGAACAGCCTCCTACCTAGGCACAGAGTGGACCTGGACCTAGACCTCACGCACAGTTCCAACAATAGGGGCCTTCACGTTATCCCCTGATGCCACTGGAACAAGAAATATTTGTACACAGAGAGTGTGCCCTGTTTTCTAGTACAGAGAGTAGCATTCCTAATGGGCTCTGTGTAATTCATTTACCACATCTTTTGAATGCACAGATTTCAGGGTAACGCCACGGGTCTGTCTGCCCATGATGGATCTAGTCAAATTCTCCCAGAGGCAGCTGCCCACCACCAAGGAGTATAAAGGCACACAGAGGAGATGGTGCTACAGCCCAAAGCAGCTGTCCTGGGCACCCCCACAGACATGGACTAGCAAACAAAGGCAAAAGCAAAACTGTTTTGGAACTATGGGGAGGTGGCCAGACAGCCCAGGCTCATTGAGGATTGGCTGGTGGGCTGAGACCATCCATGGTGCCCTCTGAAGGCTTCGCCCCGGGCAAAATTCATCGCTAAACGCCTTTAGTTTTGGCACTGTCCCCCCAGCAACTGACGTAACCAAGTGAGCAAGTGGACTCCTGCTCCACCAACATTTTTGTTCCTTCTATGGTAGCCCAAATCATCTATCTGCATTTTGGACAGTGATGGAGAACTGCACTAAAAATGTGACAGGAACAAATTGTTGATGTGAAGACATATAAACGTTTTACAATGAATACTCGTGGTCATGGGACCACGCCGTGAACAATCAGAGCAAACACTCAGCAAATGCGAGATATGGGTGTTGCCATTTTGAGGTGGGATTCAACTTCAGCCATGCAACAGCAAACTCTGGTGTTGTACCGTAATTGTGGTTAACTGACAGGTCCTGTGCAACAAACCTGCTTTCCTAAAAGACTGGGCTTTTCGCGGTAAGAAAAGTGATGAGAAAATGCAATGGAATGTGTGGAATAACAAGTCTTTGAGCAATGTCATACAAACTTTCCACAAACAGATTGGCACGGATGCTCGTTAAATAGTCCACATTGCCTAATCTCCCTGCAAACAAATTGGGATAAATGCTCAATAAACAGGATGTCTGAAATTGCCCACAATTTAACATCTGAGAAGGCTTTGTGTGAAAAATAAGAACATCATCAGTTTAACAAGCAACACTTTTGCTGCTGCTGCTGCTGCTTCAGCTAAGTGACTCCTTCCTCGGCCCAGCAAGCAGAGACTACTGAACCCCACTTCCCTGCCACAGTGATTGCTCTTGAATTGATATAGCCATAGAGTGGGTTTGGTTGTTTTTTGCTATCACATTGGCCAGGTAGGAAACGTCTGCCTACCATCTGAGTCTTGACTTGTCAATCTTCCTTCCTCTTAATCTCTGCCTTCTGGTGCTAGTTTCATGATTTTTCATGGCAGGCAGATTCCAAATAATATCTCTTGTACATTTGAGAAGTAATTTCTGTAATAAATTTAAGCACTGGTTGGGGAAGGGGCAAGCAGGAAGATTTAGCGGGGCAGGTCTCCCAGCTCCTGCCCAACCTGTCTCTCATGTCCAAACCTGTTGAGTAGAGATTGCTCTTGAATTCATCCCAAAAGTGAAATTCTGAAGTGGCCTCTTCCTTCTGCTCTGAAGAATAGATTGTGTTTGTACCTGCAGCTAGGCAACAGCTAGCAGATCCCTTTTACATTCCATGCAATCAACGTGTATCCGTGAGCAACTCTGTAAGAGTGGTGTTAGTGTTAAGTTGTGGGTGAACATATCAGACGACACAGCGATTCTTCAAACAGCTCTTGTTTATTCACAGGCCAGAACTGAACTGAACTGAAGGGTTCAGCCAGCCTGCTTATATAGAGCTCCACTAGAACGCAACAGTAACCATTTTCTGTAACTATCCAATCACTGAACGTCACTTTCAATCCCTTATTTGCATATGTGGACCTGAGTGAAAACTATCTACAGTATCCTCCTGCTGGCCCAGGGTGAGAACTTCAGTACATAACAGTTACTTTTTGGACTCTGCACCAAACTCACAGTGGGAATAATGTAACTCCATGCAAAATTCTGCATTGTCTAGTAGTCTTAACTCCATTGCCATGAGCCTTCCAAAGATCAACACATATAAACCAGATCTCAATGTGCCAAGAGACTAGATGTACCACTAAAAGGTAAATGAGTACAGTAGTTCCAGAAATTCATCTAAGGCATGCATGGCCAAACTTGGCCCTCCAGCTGTTTTGGGACTACAATTCCCATCATTCCTGACCACTGGTCCTGTTATCTAGGGATGATGGGAGTTTAGTCTCAAAACAGCTGGAGGGCCAGGTTTGGCCATGTCTGATCTCAGGGGTGCAGGGCTTGCTTCCTCTGCAACCTAGAAAGGAAGCAAGACTCCTATCCCACTACTAGCCTGGGGTAATCCATCCATCCCTTACCTAAAGGTAAAGGCAGTGGCGTAGCGTGGGGGGTGCAGGGGGGGCCCGGCCGCACCGGGCACAACATCTGGGGGGGGGCGCTCGCACTCTCAGTGCTAAAATCAGTGCTAAAATCCACGGGTTAGGGGGCGCAAATTACTTGCCTTGCCCCGGGTGCTGAAAACCCACACTACGCCACTGGGTAAAGGGACCCCTGACCATTAGGTCCAGTCGTGACCGACTCTGGGGTTGCAGCGCTCACCTCGCTTTATTGGCCAGGGGAGCCGGTATACAGCTTCCGGTATACAGCTTCCGGGTCATGTGGCCAGCATGACTAAGCCGCTTCTGGCAAACCAGAGCAGCGCACGGAAACGCCGTTTACCTTCCTGCTGGAGCGATACCTATTTATCTACTTGCACTTTGATGTGTTAGGTTGGCAGGAGCAGGGACCGAGCAATGGGAGCTCACCCCGTCGCAGGGATTCAAACCGCCAACCTTCTGATTGGCAAGTCCTAGGCTCTGTGGTTTAACCCACAGTGCCACCCGCGTCCCATCCCTTACCTAGGGAAAGTCAAATATGCCAATTTTGCTTTCAGGTTTTCTCTCTCTTTTCTATAATCTGAGTTATCTTCTCCACATTTTCACTTC